GAGGATGTTTCTTGAAATAAATATTGACTAGAAATAAATAAACACATAAAGTATGTGATCTTATCAAAATTTTTGAATGTGAATTTGTGAAGAGACGATAAGATCCTGGGAAGTGTTTATTGATTGAAATGAAATTTCTTGTTGTTTAGAAGGAGGTAATTCATGTATAAAAAGATTTTGATGTTGAAGTCAGTATAAAAGTTTATATTATGAATATAATAAGTATGAATGATTATAAAGTGAGTATCTCTCAATAAATACTAGTTGTATTTATAAGATCAACATGACTGTGGACCTATATTCTGATTGAAAGAATAATTACCTCAAGTACATAATAAAAGTGTAGTTAGTAAAATTATAATATTAAACTATCAAAATTAATTATGATATGTGGATATTGTTTCAATAGACATAAATTTGGACTAATCTAAAACGAAGAGACTTAATGAACTTTATTGGAGCACTTATTAGACCAGATAAGAAAACTAAAATTTAACAAAAAAGAACTCATTTCTCCTTCTATAAACCGGTGTAGAAAAGAAATATTAAAATAAAAAAAGGCTTTAATTTATAATTTAAAGTTTGGAAGCATTAACGACGTTTTAGTAATAAATATCGTGGGAATCAAAATCAAACTTTAATTAATCACACTAGACGGAACGAAACTAAATAAAAATAAAACAAAAGTTGTCACAATTGTGTGGATTGATTAATAAACTAATAGTAGTTTTTATGCTTTGTAACTCATGCATAATATAATTTGAATGGAAGTGGTTGTTCTTAACTAAAAGATTGCTCGGTGAGGGGTCACTTGTAAACTAGAGTTTATGCTTATCTTTGGCAACAGTTGCATACGGTGAAAGTCAAAGCATAGGACCCAATTATTATTGGAGTCAAAGCATGCATACTTGAAGGAGTTAGGCATGCATATTGCCAAAATTCTCTCTTCAATTATTCTCTTCATACAACTTGAAGCAATCCACTTCACTCTCGAGTTGGAATCCATTCATCTTCCACTATCAAAGGCTGTTCTTTTTTTTTTTTTACATCCATCTTTAACATAATTTAATGCTTTTAATCCTCACCTAGTAGATTAAGTTTTGTAGGTGTGTCCAATCATTGATATTCCATACTTTTTTATAACCTTTATGATGTTAATGTATCATCTTAATCAAAGTTAAGAAACTTAAAAAACACTTTTGAAAATCTCTAATGTAAACCCTAATCAAAGTTAGATTTAGAATGGTTAATTCATAACCATTCAAAACCACCGGTCAATAGAAGAAAAAAAAATTATGGATAGTATAAAATTACAGGAGACATTTACATGAACGGATTTTTATCAAACCGACACCAATGTACTTACTCTGTTCTTTCCATGTTAGGGAAGCTTCCTTTTTCACACTATATTTGTCAAAATTACGTTTACCCTTCTACTAGAATCAAAACAAGCTCATGTCCATATACTATTTGAAGATAAATATAAAATGACGATGTTAGTTTGTAATGTTTAAGAAAAAATAGTGGCAGCATCATTTGAAACGAATCGTCATGAACTTTCCAACTTATTTTATTGGTCACGTTATCATGACGTGAGATAATTGGCAACCTAATGGATTAATTTGTAAAATACTTTTGATATCTTTCAACTTAAATGGTGTAATCAGTAAGTTCAAAATTCAGTGACAAAATTCCTCAAAGTATAAACTTTAGTGGTAACAAAACAATTAAACCAATATATAGCTTGTATGTGTTTCGTATAAAAGAAATATCAATGTAATTTTTTATTCTATTTTAGTGTGTATGTTACAAATTTTTTTATTATGAGATATCAATCACTTTAAATAAATATTCATAAGATCACAATTAACTCACTTTTAGAAAATGAAACAATTAAATCAATAACTCGTGTGTTTCATATATAAAAAACATATATATATATATATATATATATATATATATATATATATATATATTTTAATGTGTATGTTAAAAAATTGTTATAAGATACCAATCATTTTAAATAAGTATTCATATTAATAAAATGAATTTTAAACATTATTTATATATTATAAATTAATTTTATCTTTAGTCAATATAAAATTTATGATATTATTTTATATCAAAACATATATTTTAAATTTTAAACGTGAAACTAAATATCAACTAGTGATATGATAAAGTTTTTGATAATTTAATTAATTTGTAAGATAAATATTTGGCAAATTCTTTCAGTTTTTTTTATAAAGTATTTTAGTATTGTTTTGTGGTTGTTGAATCAAAAGTTGATAAGACATATTGTGATATCAAGAGTAGACAGAGTTAACATTCGTGTTCAAGAGGTAATAGTTGTAGTAAAGTTTTTAATTACATGATGTTTTGTACAAACTTGATTTTGTTAGTGAACTGATTATTCTAATTTTGAATAAATGAAATTAGATATATGATCAATTTTATTTGAATTAGTATAAACTCTTAGTAATCTTTGTCTTTGTTTTATCTTCTTTAATTGTGTAGATATAAAATCTTGTATCAAGCTTAATTTACAAATTTGATTGCGTTATGGTTTTCACATAAAATTGTTTTAAAAAGATTTTGATGAAAGAAAAATCATTCTGATTTTCTTTTTCAAACAAATTGGTCCTATTGCTCTAGTTAAATCATTCATTCTTCTGTAACACCTATATCCAAACAAAACAGTTAAAAAATAAATTAAATTAAATTGAAAATAATTCAAATTCAATGTATTTGAATTTCTTGAAAATTATGAAATTATTTATCTAAACACAAGATTGTTTTCTGTTAACACACTAACTCTATATTGATAAAGATTTTCATAATTTTAACAAGTTTTTTTTTTAAAAAAAAAAGTCAAGTTGACAGTACGTAGAAAAAATTGTGATCAAATCTTAACAAAAACAACACAAATAATTTAAATTAAAAAATATAATGACAAAGTAAAAAATAATTCTAACCAATATGAACTAAAAATAATTTTTCTCGACATATTTAAAAAGAACTTTATCAATATTGAAAAAGAAAGTACGGCTAACAGATTGATAAATAAGCCTAAATTGATAGAAATGTAATTCAAACATGGTGAATAACAGTTGATGTCGGTTGAAATTTGTTTAACTTCATCAATTACAAAATAGTCTCACAAAGATCAATAAAATCTCAATAAAAAAAATAAGGCAATGATGCCCTGTCCTAGTAAGCCAAGTTGACAACATTTTAACCGAGTACGACCCAACAACACTTATCAAAGTCTAAATAATAAAATTATTAAGAGGTGCTACTCCACCACCACAACTTCCTTCCTCTACCACCCCATTCCCCTTTTATCTTTTTCTTTATTTTTTCATTTCTATTTTACCCTTATTAAAATTTCAGGATTAATATTATTTAAAATCTCAAGTGGACATTCATTCTCTTTATCATTCTTCCCTCTTTCTCTTTATTATTTTTCTCAGATTGTCTCTTAAGTTCCACCACTACTTTGGGTTGTCTCTCATATTCCATATTTTCTTCTCTTTTATAGAATTGTGACGTGTTAGTAAGATTGAAAGTGGGGAAAACAATTCATCTTCAGCCGTGAGTGTGGTGGTGCTTCAAGGTGCTGGTTCAGAGGCGTGAAAGGTTCAGAGGCGTGAAGGTGCGTAATAAAACCCTAAAATATAAACCATGTGAGCATCCGTCAACGGATGTGAGCATCCGTCAACGGATGTGAGCATCCGTCAACGGATGTCGACATCCGTTTTCCCTTAAACGGATGTGGACATCCGTTTAAAGATTATACGGTTTATATTTTACAGTTTTTTATATTAATTTTGAAGATATTTAAATAATATAATTTATATTTTTTGATATATTATTTTTGAATATATTTTGATGTATTTTAATAATGTATTTTTGAGGATCTTTATTGTTATTAGTATACACCGCCGAACCCGCTAAAGGAGGAAGAAAACTGATATGGAAGAAAAATGGAAGATGAGAAACGAATATGATGAAGTTTGGATGAAAATCTGAAAGGGTTAGGAGGTGGGTGAGAAAAGATAGAAAGATAGATTTTAGGGTTAAAGTAAATAATTATGATTAAAAAGTAAAAAGGTTATTTTTGTAGTTATAAAAGGTTAATTTTGTAATTCAAAAAATATGTAATAGGATTGGAGAGGTAGAGGGAGAAAATGTGATGGTGGAGGGAATAACACCCAAATTCTTACTAGAGTTTGATTGACAAAACCTTAATTGAACTTGAGAAATGGGTTCAGAGAATTCAGACCATGAAGTATATCCTCTTATAATTCAATTTTTTTTTTAAAATTTTGTACCCAAATAAAATATTTAGTTATAGAACATTTTAACTTCCGTCCAATACAAATGAATTATTATGTAAAAAATTTCCAATGCAAAATATTATAAGAGTCTAAATGAAGAAAGAAGGGTAGAAGGGATTGAGCAATGAGCTAAAACCGAAAAGTAAATCAAAAGTATTTTTCTTTCAATTATATAAAGACATGGTGGGACCTTTGATGGGAAGAAGAAACCACGGACACAAAGTGACAAGTGGAAACGCAAGACGGCATTAGAAGTGAACAAAGAAGGAGTGAGAATGTTACACATAAAAATATAATTGAGAAGCTTTCAAAGTGAACTGTGATGTCTGTTACATACATACAATGAGTAGAGCTGCCACAACCTGTCATTGTGATGGAGAAAATAAGAGAAAATCCCTCTCATTCTTATTATTTATTCATTACTTAACAATCACACAGTACACATATTTTTTCATTCAATCTCTGCATTCGACCGCATCTATTTGTATTTGCCTCCAATTCAAATGTCTGACAAAATTTTACTCTTACTGTTGCATTGTTTCCATCAATTCTATGGGAAGCCCTTGCAAACTATACAATGCTTCTCCAACCTTCTCTTTTGTTTTTTAACATAACAATTCGATACAATAACAACAACAAAAACAAAAAATTGCTATATACAAAACCAGATTGGAAAATGGTTGCTGTTGCCAGTTGTTGAACTTAACCCTTCATATTTGGCCATGACATTATTGACCAAAACTGTTGAATCAGAATGCTTTCTTCTGCCCCAAAGAATGCCTCGGAGAGTACTTCAAGGTTTCACTTTATGATCTCAAATTGTATTTACCACCTTCGGAAAGTTAGTTATTTCGTTTTCCATACGTTTTCAACTGCATGACATAATGTAAATTCATGAATTATGTGCATATACATTTCAATATAAGCTTGAGAATAGGTATTACAAATGGAGTTTAATATTGCATAAAAGGTTGTTAATATTGCATTTGGAATAGGATGCATAAAAGGGTTGCTTTAGCTTTCTTAAATTTTTCAAGTTCTTTTTAACAACGATGAAATCCTTTGACACAGTGACTGCACAGGAACCTCCTTCATCCTCTGTGGCTTTGAAAGCCTCCGTTTCACGCTACGACCCTGGAATCTTCTTCTTCCTTGGGGGGACTGTGTTGCTCATCATATTGCTCATTCTTCTGTTTATATTTTGGAGGCGTACTAAAGGGCCAGCAAATGTGAACACAACTCTAACATGTCAACAACATGGTAAGTTGAAGAAATCATAACATATACAAAGCAAAAGTTATCTACATACCTGCAACATATTTGGTTAATTTTTTTGACAGTGTGCTTATAATGATGATACTTCTGTTATTTGTTCTTGGCACTTACCAAAGGGAAATATATTGAACCGCGTGAGGTGATGAAGATGATGGTCCCAAATATTCAACCAGGTATTCAAAAGAAAACATAAAACATAAAATGTGAAATATATTTATGTATAGAGTGCAGCACTGTAATGATTCTATTGAAGTTCGTTTGTGTACACAGGACAGATGGAGTTCATTAGTGGAAACCTTCGGACAATTAGCTACTTTGATTTCTAGACATTGAGGAGAGCCACCAAGAATTTCCACCCTCGAAATCTGCTTGGAAGTGGTGGATTTGGGCCTGTCTATCAGGTATAGGTACTAAATCTTGTGTCATTTGCTTTGATACACAATTTCATTTGTTAGTTTTCGGAACCTGATCTCTTAATCATGATTCAACTGTTAATATGTGAGTGCTGAAGGCTTGAATAACGAATAATAAATAGAGAAGTTTTAATAGAGATTGTGTAAGTAACACTCTCCTCGAGAGCTTTTCAGTTCTGAGTCATTTATGAAGGGCACTAAAAGCACTCGTTAATATTTTTCTCTCTGTTATGGATTCAAATTTTAATAAGGCAGTGGACAACTTGTTGGAATTCATAATAATGGGGGTGTTAGAGAAATCGTGTTTGGTGGTTGAGGCTTGCATAAATGAGTGTACCGCTGCTCCTGTGTGATTAGTATTCTGAAATTCAATTGTTTTGACAGGGCAAGTTGGCAGATGGAAGGCTTGTTGCAGTAAAGACATTGTCTCTTGACAAGTCTCAACAAGGAGAAAAAGAATTTCTGGCAGAAGTGAGAATGATCACAAGCATCCAACACAAAAATCTGGTTCGCCTTCTCGGATGCTGCACAGATGGGCCTCAAAAGATACTCGTGTACGAATATATGAAGAACAGAAGTTTGGACCTCATAATTTATGGTATCTCTGCTTTATTACTGTCAGCATGGTGTGTTTATTATATAGAAAATGAAGTCCGTCACAGTTATTGGTGAAAGTACTTTCCTTGAACCCGAGCATGTAGTATGTGTATACCATATCCAATGGGTCATGAGCATTTGAAACAACTGAATAGTCTGAAGTTTTTAAAAAATAACTCGGACTTTGGATGTCTGTTTTATCAGGAGGGAGTGATCAATTTCTGAATTGGAACACTAGATTCCAAATTATTCTTGGTGTAGCAAGGGGATTGCAGTACCTCCATGAGGATTCGCATTTAAGAATTGTTCACCGAGACATCAAAGCTAGCAACATTCTTCTTGACGAGAAGTTTCAGCCTAGGATTGGAGACTTTGGGCTAGCTAGGTTCTTCCCTGAAGACCAAGCTTATCTTAGCACTCAGTTCGCTGGAACATTGTAAGTCCTCTATGTTTGAAGGTACCACATTAATTGTCGGCCTAAATTCTTGGAACACAACTTACTTATGTGCGTTAGGTAACTTCACCTAACATCAACTATAAGATAAAAACCAGCTTACTATAAAGTATTGACATTTTATTCAAATGAAACTCCTCTAGAGCATTGATCATCACTTTAACGTATCATTTGGCAGCATACTTTTGTATTGAACATCTAAAACTCTTTGAGGTTTTTAATGAACATCATTCTTGACTTTCTTGTCATTTTTTGTCAGAGGTTATACAGCTCCTGAGTATGCCATTAGAGGAGAGTTGTCCGAAAAGGCAGACATCTATAGTTTCGGAGTTCTTGTGCTTGAAATCATCTGTTGCAGGAAAAACACAGACCTCACTTTACCATCAGAAATGCAGTACCTCCCTGAATATGTAATCTCTCAGCTTGTTATAACTACCGTATTATTCTCCGAGATGCTTGTATAAATTAATGTTAATTACTTTTCAGGCATGGAAAGTTTACGAGAAGTCAATGTTGATGGAAATAGTGGATCCAAGGCTGCGAGAACATGGCATGGAGGAAAAGGATGTTATGCAAGCATTTCACGTGGCCTTATCGTGCCTTCAGCCACATGCGGATTTGAGACCTGCGATGTCAGAAATCGTAGCATTGCTGACATTCAAAGTTGAAATGGTTGCCAAGCCGATCAGGCCAACCTTCGTTCACAGGAGGCGCGTAATGGATGATGAGAACCACTCTTGGGGAGCCATATCCTCCTCCGAACCTTCCACAACTGCAGTGGCATCATTGTAGAACACACTTAAAAAGTCAATTAAGATACCATTTCCTTAGAAGAAGGAAAAACAACTCCCAGAAACTATGTATGGATTTCCTTCACTTTAGTTGTATATATATTAGTTATCATTCTAAAATCAATCTACTCGTGTTCATTGCAAATTTTGTACCTATCTCTTCCTATGCAGACAGAATTATTTACTTATAGTATGGACTGAAATATAGTTCTGATATATTTATTACAAGAAGTTGCTTTTGAATAAATAACTTGTCTTTAAAAATGATATTTATTTTCTTACACATACCAAAGAAGCTTTATTTGTTTTCCTCTCTACTACTAGGAAATGTAATAAACAAATATTTTTGTATTGAATTGGAGGATGAAAAGTAAGTAAAAATGAAAAATAAAAATAAAAAAGTGAAAATGTTTTTTTTTTCCCTTTTTAATAAAAGCTTCATGTAATAGAAGTTATGGCTAACTTATTTAGAAATTATTTAAAATAGATGAAAAAAAAGTGAAACGCGAATATATCTAATTATTATTATTATTAATTTTATTTTTTCTTATTTATTATTTTTTAGTGATCTATTATTATAATAGATAGATTAATAAATATTAAGAATACATGTTGGACAAAAATTAATTATATAAGAATGTAATGTTTCATTCTTCACTTATCTATTAAATTAAATTTCTTATATTACTAGCTTTATGTCTTTATAATTAATAATTTAAAATATTAAAATATTGTGTGTCATGAGATTTTGTTAAGTTAACAGGAATGTTACATAAGATTGTCGAGAATTCAAAGAAAGAAATTTAATGAAATCTCAAATTCATATTTTAATTATTTTTTTTAATTTTTAGATGTTTAACACTTTATTACTTGATAGTTGATGTACTGAGTTGCTTACTTTTTATTTATTTATTTTCGTTTGTTGTTTTCTCTGTTCATTAAAAAAAATTAGGTTTAGTTATATTTAAATTTTTAACAACATTAAAATGAAAGAGAAACGGTTAAAAAGGAAAAAAAATGGTACAATAGTATTAAAGTTATTTTATTATTTAATTTTTTTAAAACTTTTTTTTTGTGTATATCAAATAAATTATCAACTATAACTGTATAATACTTATACATATTTTTATCCTTTACATAAAGTAAAAATACATTAATCATTATTGAGGCCAAAATTTATTTAATGTAATGAACTTTTATAAAATTTAATGTTTATAAATTATTTTTAACCATATCATAGCAGGATAAAAGAAAAAAAAACTGACTTTTAATAATTGTGTGTTTTCCTATAAAGGTTAGACTTTATCCATGAGTTAAAACTTAATTAGTCATTATCATTTACTTTTATCTAATATTTTTGTATTAACTTTCATGAAAATTAAAAAAACAGAATAACCTTTTTAACCTTAATTTATACAAATTAAAAAAATAAAAAATATAGAAAAATTACTTGAAGAATTGTTATAAATTAATTTATATAAAATAATTTTAATTTCAGAAAATTTATCCAAAACTTTGAATTCATACGTTTAAACTTAATGTCAGTGGAAGTCTCACATAGCTTAATTTAAATACAGGTTTTTCCACATTTTAATATATATATATAGGAAGGCTTGTTAAACTTTTTAAAATTATATTTTTCTATTATTTTTTCTTTGTTTAATAATTAAGCAGATAATTTAAGAAAAAAATTGTTTGTCTTTTAAAATTTTCAAATAATTGTATAATTTTAATAAAAAATGTTATTATTTTCTTTGTATTTAGAGAAACTATTAATTATTTCTTGGATTCGTGTATTTTTTTTAATATTATACCTATAATTTATTATTTCAGTTTGAAAAAACCCACTTTACTGAGAATATCCATACTACAATTTTTGAAACATATAACTCTTTTAGTTTTAATTAACTAAAACAGACTAGTCTTATTTTTTTCTAAAACAATATAATAAATTAAATAATATTTTTATTAGATTAATGAAATTAAAGATGAAAACAAATTTTTGTAAACAATGAACTAATTGAATCAAAATTTTCATACTATACTATGTTTAAAATCAGAATTAGACTATGTTACAACACAATAATAAAATGTACAAAATCATAGTTCAACATCATATTTTTTCTATATAGATATTATTTTTCTTTAAATTAATGTAATGTATACTTTAAGTGTATGTTTATTTAAAAAAGCACATATTGGTTGAATAAAGACAATAACCAAATCATTCTCTAGTATTCCAAATGACATCTTTTTAAGTCTAGTCCTGTCTCTTCCTCTTCTAAAACTTTGCAAAACAACAATCACGACATGTTGTGTCTCTGTGTGGCAAGAAATTCCGAGTGAGAGAGACAAAAAGAAAGAAAGAATACATAGAAGCACTTTTTCCATTCTCTTTGACCAGCTATTCTTTCTCCACACTCATGGTTCAGTGTTTTGACTCTTTTGAATTGCCAAAAGGGATGAGATGATACATACATGCAACTCTATGAACAAATATAAAATAACATATACTTAACCTCGAGATATACAACGAGAGAAAGAGACTATAAACAAGAGTGGAAAGACACCATGGTTTGTGTCAAAAAGTAGCTTTTGGTGTGAAAGAAACAGGGAGACAAAGACAAAAGAAAAACGACTTTTATATATGTATGTGTGTTATGTTTGCTATTCCAATTAATACTGCATGGCAGATAAGATAACCACAGTGTCACAGGCACCACATTCAATTCTTTCCCGACACCCATTCAATGTAGCCTCGGTACGCACCCTACGACATATCACTATTAAACGGATTCATTGATCTCCTTACCTGCAAAATCAACGGATCTGTCAAATTATATGTCTTTTTCTATCCATTTTGACTCATCTCTAATCAATTAAATATATCTCCTTAATCATCATTATGACTTTGGTGTATGTTAACCCATTAATCTATATAGACCCAACATATTTAAGGTTACAAAAGTTGTCTTAAAAGACAACCTATTTGCACGATTTGGCTTTAACTTAAAGCCTATTATTGATTAGTAATGCAGGTCATGGGTCATATCACATGCCCTTGTCTCTGTTTAAAAAATATGAATCATACCAGGGTCCCATCCAAATTGTACTGGCTATCTGTTCTAAGTTCTGCTATGTCATTTTCTCATAATTCTATTTCCCTTCACACCAATTTTGCATTTCATAAATTGAAAGAAAATAGAAAATGTTGTACTCCCTCATTAAAGAAAATGGATAAAGAAATATATATCAACATTTTTGGACAATATTGAACCTTGAACACTCAAAACAAACATGAAAAATAGTTGTATCATTAACATGTAAGGGATCTTTTTTCCATGGGGCCATTGATAAAAAAACAATAATTTAAGATAGCCATTGGAGATGCTGGAACAATATAAATCTTTTAATAATAATTCATTTACAAAACAAAATAGAAAGGAAACCAAAAGCAAAAAGGGAAATGAAATTCAACTGGGAATTGGGATAGAAAGTAAAATTTCATAAGAAATATAACAATATTAGAAATAATATGACTTGATGGAAAAGAGATCATGATTGATTGATGATGTCTTGGTGTTGATAGCAGACTGTTCAGGTTCTACTTCTACCCAGCTCTATCTGTTGTGCAAAGGATTTGGACCAGTGGGAACGAGTCTTTTGTCTTCTACAGTGATGTTGTTGCCATAGCAAGACAAATGTCTGTTGCCGTTGCATTTGTGAGCACTATCTGCATATGACACAGTGTTGGTCTTCTTCTTTGCTCCATCAAAAAAGTTGCTAACAAAAACTGTCTTCCTTGCGACTGTGTTGGAGCCTATACAAGCCCACAACAAAACAAAACACACAAGTATGAGCTCCCCTATTCTCATCTTACCAAAGTAATTGAGCTTAATTGAAAAAGGGGTGTTTGAGTGAGAAGAGGAGGCAAAAGAGAAAGAAAAAGTGAGGAGAGGAAATGAGGGAATGAAGAGGAGGAAAAGGAGGAGGTGTTGGTGATATTATTACTAGGGAATAAGGTAGGGAAAGAGGGGAAGGGAGGTGAGTATAATAGGAGAGGGTTTGTAGCAAGGAATGGGATATTAAGTATGGTACCTAGGATATGCAGTAAAAGACTTTGAATTTGATACATCACATCTATGTGGTCAGAAACTTCACCAAACCTCATTAATTGACTTCAATTCTGCTTGACAATGTGTAGCTTATTCAAACCAAATGGAATTTGAACATAAATGATGGTTAAAATATGGTGGCAAAAGCACAACATTCTGTTTTTTAGACAGTGGTAACCTAGACCCTAAGAATAACAAAAGACACACACCTCTAATCTAAACACACACTTGGGATTAGAGAAATTCTTCTCGGGCTGGCGCTTCACCACGTGCCGATAGGTTTGAGGACCATACTTGAAAAGCTGACACTCATTGATAAAAAGGAAGTTGCAGGGAAATTAAATGGTTGGTGGTTTAATTTTGACTGTAGCATGCATTGAATTGATCAATGCCATTTTCTTTGCTTTTGAAGCACGTCTTCTTCTATACATCTCGGTTCAGCGTTTTGATTGAATGAATGATGGAAGTGATGTTGAGTTGCAAGTTGCAAAAAAGTGTTTGTGCTGCTACTGGTTGGTGTTGTGTTAGACTTTACATGGATGTGTATTAGTATAATATTTGAGGTTGTTGTGTTGTAACAGTAACAATATGAACAGAGACAGAGACAACCTGGGAATAGGTTAATGGAAACTCCGGAGTAATGAAAGGACAGTTGGGGATTCATTAAAGGCAGCCATTTCTGTTAAAAGATAAAGGTTGGTTAGTTAGCTATATACTGTGTTATGTTGTCCAATGCTTATGGTTGATACATGCATGCATGCATGGGACATGCCTTATGCAATGCATGTTCTCATATCACATTGAAAGGGTACATACACAGAAAAAGGTGCAGAGGTCAGCGGGAAACAATGTGATGTGACCCATAATGGGTGAAGGTGATATCATAAGATAAGATGGTGAGATAGTTTCTGTTCTGTTCCCTAACTTTCTACAGTTCCGTAGACAAATCTATACGGAAATCATGGACAATTAAAGAAAGAGGTACATTGCATGTCTACGAGTACTTACAGAAT